AAAAAAATAATAAGTGCTGGCCAATTTTCAAAAAATACGGAACAATAACCCACACCATGACACTAAAACCAATGAAAACCTGTGTTTATTCAAGTTGTCATCTAATTTATTGCCGCTTATCTCAACGAGTAACGGGAACTGTGGGCATTGCACCTATGCATGGAACTATTATAGTTCCATGACCTATGCAATATGTATCTGGTGTGTTGATAATACCACGTACCTTTATAATAAGCCAAGCTCTCTAACGACGTGGCGGTTTTTTGTGACGTAGAAATGACGTAGATAGGTATAAGTAATGTCGTTCAAGTAGTCAATTATGTTTGATTGTGAAGTCGGAACAGTTTTTATTGACGGTCGACTACAGATAAAAATAATATGGCCGCTGTGTCAGTGTCATTTCCACATATCACGTCACAGAAGTGCTTTACCACTAGAGGGCGTCGTTGACATAGGAATTAATGGTCTTTTGATTGTATTGAAATAGTGCTGTAATATAACTCATTTGGAGGAAGTGTATTTCGGTTTATATTCACCCACGCTTTTCCGACGTACATGTTAGTACGTGGAGTCTAGGGTGGGAAAATCGAGCACAGCTTTTTGAGAAGCGCATGCGTGTATGTAATACAACCATAAATGTAATAACAAGCATTAAAATAATAAAAAAACATTCATAAATGTAACAGTCAACCATAAATATAATACAACCATAAATGTAATAACATCTACAAATGTAATACAACCATAATGTAGTACAACCATAAATGAAATGACAAGCATTAAAATAATAGAAAAAACATTCATAAATGTAACAGTCAACCATAAATGGAATAAGATTTCGCCTATTTTTTAGAATAGCTTGCTGCGAGTTGGCAGCTGTTCCCAGGTTTGCGTTTTCTGACATTCGTTCTGCGCTTGCGCAGTCGGTGAATCTTGGATATTGCCGGTGTACGACAAAGTTCTTTTCGAGTTTGTTATGTAGTTGTGTAGTGTTTTAATAGTGTATATCTGAATATTGTGCGAAATATATGTGCGAAATGCAGTTAACAATGTACGATTAGATAACCATTTATTTCTGTATCCAAGGAAACAGTTTGAATTTGAATTTTTTAATTTGGAACACGGAGTCAACAATATAATTACTGTGAATCCACGGCTAACATATTATCCCCAATATTCAGTTCGAAAAGATTTGTACCCCAAAATTAGGCACCTGTCTTAACTGCCTTGTTCAATCAACTTATTTGTTAAAGGCAGTTGTCGCCGCGCCGCGCATGTGCGACATTTGTGTTGATAAACATTGATTTCACCCACACTCCAATGCGCTCTTGAAATGGAAATCACAGGTATGAGGTTTGACCTGGGCGCGACTTGCACTAATTACCGCCGGTGACTCCCACGATGCATTCTAAGCTTGGTAACGTTTCTTTGATTTGCGCAACAGTCAAGTTTGAATGAGACCCATACCTCGCACATGCGTGGCGCGACGCCTTTTAAACATAACTGCAAGACGAGAGAAAATCGCAGGTGCTGTAAGTTTGAACAATTTAAACTGCCAATGCACCTTTCATATAAATCAATAAGTACATGGTGACAAAAAGGTCATTTAAAACATTGTCGTTATTGTGTTGAACAGTAGCCGTCAATCGTTAAAGAATTTGCTATAATAATAATAATAATAATAATAATAATAATAATAATAATAATAATAATAATAATAATAATAATAATAATAATAATAATAATAATAATATTAATAATAATAATAATATATTTCAGTGAAAGACCCTTGGCCTATTATATATATTTAATACAGTTACTGTAGTAATGACAACGTAACCGATACATCCCCTATAATTAGATAGTTAACAGAAAGTCTTTATCGCAGTGGTGTATCACGTGACACACAAATAAACGTCGTTACCATGTTGTTAGCGATATGAACACATTTG